TGTATTGGTGTGACGAAACGTCTAGGTGAAGCCATTTGTTTTGCATTTTTCCTTTACACATGGATTAATTATTGTTTTAGTTTCGTAACGGTTGAAAATGCTTTTTTCGTGTAATCACTGATGAACAAATATTTCCCTTATCCCGTTATTCATAAATGATATTCAATTCCTTTCCATTTTGCGAAATTCATTTACAGTATTGCTGAGGCCAATCTTGTGATGCGAAAACAACTGCTCAATTGGTCTCGGGTGGGGCAAGAAGGGCAAGAGGGGGGGCTTCAATCTGATAGTACAGTCAGACCCTAGAGAATGACGGTAAGCCAGTGACTCTTGGTAAAGCAATGTATAAACAGAGAGGATTTTCATGTTCTGGCGATCCAGGATGGGTCACTTCGTATTACCTCAGCCAAAAGTTACTCATTTCCCTTCCAATAATATTATTTTTACTGAAAAAATTCACATTAAGAACTAAAAGTAACGTTTAGTTGTGGATTTTTTTTTTAATGATTATAGTCACACTTCTGGATACGCCTGGGTTATATGTATATATATATTGGCCACTCTAACTCGACGATTCCCAGACGTCGACGGTGTTATCGATTCGACGTTGGGAACCCAGAGGCGCGCGACGCGATGAACAAGGGGGAGAGTGGGAGGAGGATTCCTATACTCGATGGTTGAGGAATGCGCGCTCGCCACTTTGGCGGCAAAAGAGTGAAAAAAAGAAGCGCGCGCGCGCGCGCTTAAGAAATTATCCTGGGATTGCATTTCTGTATTGCTGTATATAAAAAGGTAAATTGATGGGAGGGAGGTGAGATGTCAGTTTGGTTGTTTATGGGCTTCGTTTAAGAGGCTGAAATCTTCTTGAGATACATTAAATGTAGTAACATAAAAGGAACAATCTAAATGAAAAAATCACCCCGACAGAAATTATGTCGAAATTATGTGCTCCCGATGAGCACAACTAATGAGGTCCATATTAGTTTTCTCTGACAAACGAACACCATGAGTAATATCAAATTTGATATTCATTACCGCATTCAAAATTCTATCCAACAAATGTTGAATAAAAAAAAAAACTATGAAAAGTAATTGGTTGACTAATGATGTGGATCCGGTGAATATCAGTGAATGAGAGAGCTGAGTGCTTACCTCGGGTCATCATATACGCACACACACACACACACACACACGCACACGTACGGCTGTATTGATGATCGATGGCATATCCAAGGGTGAGGAGACTCGACTTCTCGTGCAGCCCTTGAAAACCCTTTGAAATAAAATACGTCGATAAAGAGAGTGATCCTGGAGTCGTCTTTGTTCTGTCACCGCGTCGACCCAAACACTTTTTATCTCCTCAACGTCCGGAGATTTCTCTCTTTATACTCTGTCTCTCGATACGGCTCATTTGGCTTCATTCCCTTTCCCCTATCCGTACCCGCCTATCTTTTCCCTCTTCTTTTTATTCTTCCTCCCTTTCCTTTTATGCAGAGTCTCTCTGTGAGTATTCCTACCGTTTTCTTCGTATATTGGGGAGTACTCTCCCTACTCAACAGCATCCCAGTCGTTTATCTAAATGGCTACTGGGTGGCCGTGTTGTCTCTTTTTTTCTCTCTCTCTCTCTCTCTTGACGTGTTTAAGCTTAACGTCAAACCAAAACTAACCCAATCAGCTTCATGTTTTGGCTCTTTAATTGTATTTCTGAGAAATAGGACATGACTTTTGGAAGAATAATGGAAATGCAGATTTGCGGCAATACAAGGCAAGTGAGAATTTTTTCAAATTGACCATATTGCTGATTATTGGTGGGTAATTGAGTTATGAAGCGGTCAATTATAATGATAAACAAATTGGAAAAACTTGATTTTTGTTAGGTTCCCTCTCGCTTTACCATTTCACTTACAACTAGTTGAGGACAATTTTTATTGTCTCTCACTTTGTTGTAGGACATTTTTAGTAACTCCTCATTTTTACGAGGAATTGAATGGAGTCAAAACTACGGTACAATGGAAATAAAAGAATAGAAGTGGGGGTAAGAATAAACGATTGGTCCGGCGGCGCTTTGGGAGTCAAATGAATTTATATCATTGCACGAGACAAAATCCCCTTTTGCGATTGGGTTAGGGGAGTTGCGTGTGAGGTGAGTTCAACAGTGCACATGAACTCATCCTCCTGTCCTTGATCCTCCTCTCCTCTCCTCTCCTCTCACATGTACAAATCCAGCCCATCCCCTCGTTTCGCTAACAACACGAATACGTGCCATCTCCACGATTTTTATTTCAACCGATTTTCGTGCCAACGCGACGCATGAACGCCCAACGAGTACCCGGCTAAATTCATATTATACCTGTTTCCCAATGTATTTGCACTTTTTTTGCCTGTTGCAGTGAGGGCGAGACTATTCAAGTGTCGACATAAAATTTCTTTTTTTTTTCTTTTTACATTTTCATAAAAATGCTTTACTTCCATTTGATGGACAACTACCACATTTACAATTTGAAAAGCAAACTGATTAAGTACCAATTGGATTTCCTTAACACTTCAATCAACTATAACTAGGTAATATTGGCAAATTCAAATTTTTTCCCTCTCGTTTGAAATTGAAAATTTGAATTACACATTGTAAGATTATTAAAAGATGTTCGTATACTCACTCCAAGCGCAATATATTCTCATTTCCTGTTATCTGAAGTAGAAGAGAAGACTCGAGTTATTCTCGTGGGATTGGTATGTACGTGAATCTGAAGAGAGTGTGCGGCAAATCGCAAAACGGCTTCCGTGAAAATGTTTGGGGGAGGAGGTTCTTTGTGGTAAAGCCGAATGATTCCCCAGTGGACGAACCTGGCTAAACTCGTGTCCCAGTCAGTATACACATATACCTACCTCCATCCTCATTCCCCCGCCAATAAAACTATTCCAACATAGAGTCCGGTGTCACAGCTTATCGGCACAGTAACCATTTTGGTCACAGCGAACGATGAGTCTGCTGGACACGGATATAAGCCTATCTATCAACAACAGAGAGATATCGCTCCACCAGCAAACGGGGGATGGAGTAATACACTTGGAGGGAAAATGGCTCTCGATTCTACACGTAGTGTTGGAGCGAAACTCGAACTAGCGTGAAACCCGACTAAGCAAAGGTCGATACTCCATTTCATCATCCCCATACTGTTATCATGAAATAGCGCGGGCTGAGTTTGTTTGCCCCTTTGGCCAGTGAACGATGAAAAGAATTTCCAAACAAAAAACCTCACCAGGATGATTTGATAAGGCAACCTGATTGAATAAAGGAACCCCCTGCAGTAAACACATTACCGAATAAACATTTGTGAATCTCTCACATGTCTGCAGTACGTACAAAATTCAATAAAATTTTTGATGCTTGGAAATTGTTATGCAACAGTAGTATGCGGCGGGTAAATTGATTTTTAAACTCCCCTTGGGGTGGGAGGGATTTTCCGCATGCAGAGGTCATACAGACCACAGGCGTTTTAGTTCATCGAGTGAAAAGCGCGTGACCAATTGAGCTCTGTTTGATACATCCAGTTCAATCGAAGCGTTTCATCACTTGTTTTCAGTCATTAAAGAAAGACGAAGAAATGCCCCTACCAACCGGAACCATTGCTCTTCTCATCGATTATATTTTTCTACAATGTTTACTATGAATTACGTGAAAACCAAGTGATTATAGAGGCATCCAACCGTAGTAATGTAATTAGTGCGCCAGTAACGCTTAACCATTATAACCCCCATATAACAATTACCCTCTCACCTCTCTTATTCATATGTATCAATTACGATATATCGGCATATTCTACTGGAGGGGGGTACATAGTGCCACTAACCATAAGAATGGCTGTCTTGATGGGTTAATGTCCATACGAGTTATCATTCTATAGCTCTATTTTCCCCGATATGTGAGCGTATTATTACTAAACGGTGATGTGAAAAGTTGAATGACTTTATATTGCTGTTCCAAGTTATCAGTCAGTCATGTAATGTGTGTTGGATTAGTCAGATGTAATATGTAATATTAGATAATAAACTATACTCATGGACGGATTCAGCAATAAAAAAAAAAACGTACCAAAGTGAATCGATGTGATCGCTTTCACTTGAATGGAGCACGGCTAACAGCCACCCCAAATATCGGGGGATTGTTACACGGTCAGACCACAACCCCTTAATCGCCCAACCCCACCCTCGTAAGCCTCCTCCACGAGCTTTAACTTGCAACCCCTTCAACAGGTGTTTAGGAAAATACAATAATGTTGCGCAGGCGCACACAAGTTTTCTTGAGTCGTAAAGTTCCATGTACGGATACAAGAGGCGGTCAGTAGCTGCTGCCTCTAACAAGTACCCAGTACCCACTCTCCCCTCCCATTGTCCATTCTCGTGTCGGGACATGTGGTCACGCGTCTCACTACACACCAAGTAGAATCTACCTACCGTATCTAATAATACACCTGGCCTGGTGATTCTTATCGTTTTTATTTCTTCTGATCTAGTTTAAGTGATTGTTTTTTTAATTGTATGTTAACAAAATTGAACCAATTCAATGCTTCATAATTCATAAATTCTCATGTTTTTATGTTGTTTTCATTTGAGGGCTTTTATAGAAATATTTGGAGAGTAATATAACAAGTAGACATTAATATTTAGATGATTATTGTGAATAATGCCTAAAGGGTTATTTATATTTAATCAATATAATGTAAATGTAAAATTCTACATTACCGACGTATTTCTCTTCTTTACCTGCCTTGGACAATAGTCTGCCGAAGGTATGAAACTGCCAAGGGTAAAATAGAGCACTGTATGGGGGTAACTCAAATTGCTGTGAAAGCCCACGCAACCCCAAGCAACTTGAACCACCCCCTAATAGAGGGGGCCAACATGAAATTATCTCACTCTAATTTCATACATGTTCTAAAATCTCCTCAGACATTTAACACTTAATACAATGTTTACGGAATATTTGTTTATGATTATAGGCATTGAGCAATTGTGATGGCTCAGTACCGCCAGGGAGAGTCTACAAGAAGGTTGCCATTGTCGAGAATTTTTTTGACATTATCCACGCTGTTCACGTTGACTTGGAGGGTCGGCCTGGAAAACATGCTGGTCAGAAACGTACTTACAGAACCGTAAGTGTTGTCGAAAATAATAATAAGCACATGTATTTACCGAAAGCGCCGTTATAGCCACAAGTCCGTAATTTAACTTTTTTTTTATTTAAATTCGCGCGTAAAGCACTCTCCATGAGTTTCATTTCCAGACTTGCTACTGATAGCAGAAAACGACTAGACATTGTTTTCTTTCATCCCTCTCACTCAACCCATCTCCATCAGCGTGTCTTCCGGTTTGGTGTTCTCATCCGTCACGTTACCCCTCCCCCTCCCCCCCCCTCTCTCTCTCTCTCTCTCTCCACGTCTTTCATTTCTCAGTTTTCTCTATCACTCTTATACTCTTGCGCACTCACTTCACTTGTATATACACTGTCTACGATCTGCTTGTGATTCAAAACCTCAGGACACTTGTTGCATTGCCTGCTTACACACAACTTTCCATCGTCTATTTCTGTCTCACTTGTGTGCATATAACCTGTAGTACTCGTGCAAATATACATTCACCAAATGTTCTCTCAACGTTCAAATTGTTTTGCGTAAAGTTGACTATCATATACACGCTTTATACTCATATAAGTGTAATTAGTAAAGAGTACAATACTATGGAAAATAAAATGCCAATAATTTTTAAATAAATAATGTTGCCACATTGAACGTTTTTTTACCTATGTCTCAGTAAAAAAGAGAAATTAAAAATCCTTTTGATGCATCACCTTGTAAAATCAAAGGCGTAGTACAAGTACTTATTGTTTCCATTTGTCAAACAACTTTGTTACGCTAAAGTGACACTTGACTTGCATTTGTCCTTTGCTTTAGATTACCGAGACATACGCCTTTCTACCTCGTGAAGCTGTCACGAGATTTCTCCTAGGTTGTACGGAGTGTCAGCGTCGTCCAAGAACACCGAGTCCAACAAATCTGGTGGCTCAATCGCAAAATACAACAGCAAGCCCATCAATAGCATCATTAGCATCAACAGCCAGTAATCTGCCAACTGCTGTNCCCCCTCCCCCCCCCCTCTCTCTCTCTCTCTCTCTCTCCACGTCTTTCATTTCTCAGTTTTCTCTATCACTCTTATACTCTTGCGCACTCACTTCACTTGTATATACACTGTCTACGATCTGCTTGTGATTCAAAACCTCAGGACACTTGTTGCATTGCCTGCTTACACACAACTTTCCATCGTCTATTTCTGTCTCACTTGTGTGCATATAACCTGTAGTACTCGTGCAAATATACATTCACCAAATGTTCTCTCAACGTTCAAATTGTTTTGCGTAAAGTTGACTATCATATACACGCTTTATACTCATATAAGTGTAATTAGTAAAGAGTACAATACTATGGAAAATAAAATGCCAATAATTTTTAAATAAATAATGTTGCCACATTGAACGTTTTTTTACCTATGTCTCAGTAAAAAAGAGAAATTAAAAATCCTTTTGATGCATCACCTTGTAAAATCAAAGGCGTAGTACAAGTACTTATTGTTTCCATTTGTCAAACAACTTTGTTACGCTAAAGTGACACTTGACTTGCATTTGTCCTTTGCTTTAGATTACCGAGACATACGCCTTTCTACCTCGTGAAGCTGTCACGAGATTTCTCCTAGGTTGTACGGAGTGTCAGCGTCGTCCAAGAACACCGAGTCCAACAAATCTGGTGGCTCAATCGCAAAATACAACAGCAAGCCCATCAATAGCATCATTAGCATCAACAGCCAGTAATCTGCCAACTGCTGTTACACCTTTGAGTCCAACTCCAGCAACTTCACTCTCAGCATCACCATTGCAAAGTAGCCTGAGGCCACGTGAAGCAAGTCATCCACCAGAGAGTAAAAGTTTATTCAATTACAGGCATATTAAGCAACAGAGAGCTACAGCTACAGCTACAGCTACAGCTACAGCTACAGTTAGCGTTATCGAGAGAATAGCTAAAAATAAAGAATCCGATGATAGGAGAGAGAGTGAAAGAGTCAGGGAGGAAAAATATAATCCCCTGAGTATCACCAACTTGTTGAAGAAGGAGCCACCCAATTTCACAACTACTAATAGTGAAAATCGAAATAGTGACTCGAGACGTACACCCGAGTCAGATAGAGCAAGTTCGGGGAGCTCTGTATCATCAAAACGAAGGAGAATGCTTCCAAAAGGTCGCACACCATCGCCTCCACCTAGCACACCTCTTGCCAGGCCCTGGAGTCCCGGATTAGATCCCAAGGAGACTCCAGTTGATTATAGTCTTCCCATTACGACAACATATCTAAAGCATCAGCAGAGGATTGAAGCTGAGAAGAATAAAGCAGTAGAGGAAGCAGAAGCGGCGGCGGTAGCGGCGGCAGCGGCGGCAGCAGCTGCTAGTGCGAAACAACGACAACTCGAACAAGAGGCAAGAGAGGCAACATCTTCACCTTCAATGATAGATCAAGGCGATGTCGAGAGAGAGCGATTCTCACCAGCAGCAGGATTAATCGATACAAACCTCAATTTACTCGCTACTATCCAGCAATTGCATTGTCAGGTCATGGTAGCTTTGACTGAGAGACTCAGGCCCTCGATACTACCATCCCCTTTGATCTTACCATCGACCGCTGGCGTACTGCCGAGTGTGCTCATTGGCTCGGATATGTCGATATCTACCGCACTGGCGGCACACAATCATTCGTGAAGATGCCAATCTATATAAGTACATTTACAAAGTTGGTAGAAAAATCCATGAGATAATGTGTTATCTCAATGTGTACCTTGTGTTTTATTGGATTATTACTAATCAAATTTTCACATCATTTCTACATGAGACTGGATAGTCTTTGATTCATAACTTCCATTAAACACATCTCATTCCATTATTGAATGGTGAATAAACTAGTCGTCAAAATATACAATCATTTTTTTTCCCTGAATGACGTTTGATTAGTGATTATTATTTGCACTGCCAATACCAATACCAATAGCAATACCATCAAAATACATATAGCCACAATATTTCCATTGTCGTAATAAAGTTATCCAAGTCATTGTTTCAATACATCTTGAGGTTTTTAATATAAATGTGATGAAATGTACCATTTTCTACCCAAAGTTAATAACGGTTATTAATAACAGTGTTGCTTCATCAGTGTTATATTTTACGATATTGAGTGATTTCACTTTGTCAAGTGGAGTGTATAATGTGAAGTTGGCCTTTAGTATCGACAATATTGTAATTATTGTTGCATAGTACTTGTAAATTCTTTGTTTGGTGCATGTTTTAACACGATCTATATGTATAGAGAGCCATATAAACTTGTAAAAATTTATTATTTTTGTATGAAAACAAGTTATGAAACAAGAGAATGAATATTTCAGGTCGTTGGTTCAATTGAAAATGACATGAAAATTACGGGTACTTTAATAGAAATTAGGAAAAAATAGTACACTTTTTCATATTTTCCACCAATGATTTCAAACATTTTGTTTTTATTTCACCCTGAAATTATAGTACCTAGAACATGAGCGAAAAATACAGAGTTACACGGGGGCTTGCTGGAAGTGGCCAACTTCACCCCTTTATTCAACCTCAACTTTTCTCCTTCGTTAGTTCTTCATCTCTCTCTCTCATGTCTATATGTGTATAGTACTAAGCTTTGTGTATAATTACATGAGACAACTTTCCCTATGATAACTTTCTTGCGCAAAGAGTCAGACAAATTGTAAAACAGCCAAAGTAGCATATTATATAGAAAAAAGTTAGGCCTCAAGGTTTTTTTTTTGCTTCGACAAAAGTGTTTAACTAGAAATTTGATAAACTAAACTATCAAGCCAGCCAAATTTAATAATAATAATAATAATAATAATAATGCTGCCAATGAAATGGCAAAGCAAATTAAATTTGAATTGTTACGCTTCAACACTTGGCTAATAATTTTTATTGTGTAAATAGACTTTGTAATATAATTGATTACAGCTGCAATTTCATTATTGTTAAATACCATTCCATCAATAATGTTACTATATTTCAGAAAGAGAGAGAGAAAAAAAAACAAAACAACAAATCGAGAGAAAAATCTTGAAAACTCGAAATATACTGAAAAATTAACATCGATATAAACCAACCAACTGTAAATATTTTACACACCTCCTCCTCGTCATCCTCCATTGTGGCTAATGGTTACTCAACCATTTCCACTCTGCAATTAATCATTTCTCACTTGACAAGTGGATTGTGGCACACACTGTTACAGCCAACTTTTGGATAACAAATAGTATAAAGTCAACCAGAATTGTTGCTGTAAAATGATGAAGGTGATTTGTTCAAGAAAGGAATACTTTGCTTAGTTGCACGAGTATTTTCAAAAGTGAAGCAAAACATATTTTAATTCCATATGTACGTAATTTGATAAGTTGATATTTGGGAAATTTCGTGTTGCGAGGAGATGCTCCCGTCAAATTCCAGTTTCTACCCCGAAACCATTCTACGGTGCCCTGGAATTTCTGCACTCTTCGTCCTCTTTTTCCTTCACTACCCTTCTCCCTCACTCAACTATAATCCAAGTCGGCGCGGTCTTTTACCCATCCAAACTCTCTACTCATCCCTCGGCATTCATAGCTTCTCTTTTCTTTCTACTCCCTTTTCTCGGCCCTTAGGAAAACTCATCCTCATCCCCCTCAATTCCAATATAAGGCTGCCATCCTCACTTCCTCTCTCTCCCTATATTACTCTTCTTTTTTTTCCCAACATCCCTCCTCCAACCTAACAACACTCCCTTTTTCTACCCACTGGCAATACCGGCTTCCATCCACTACTTCACAAAACCCCAACCCGAACCCGAACCCAAACCCCTCCTCTCTTTTTTTCCCCCCCTCTTTCTCCCAACCCCACCGGAAACATGCCAGGAGGACCTGCTTTTTACCCACCGGCATTGTTGATATCGATTCGACCCTCGCTTACGTATTTTTTCTTGGATATTTTCGCGGCTTTTCTCGATAAATCCAACGACACAACTTGGGTCGAATGCATTGAGGAGAGCCTAGGGATAGAGACGGCTGTATATATATGTAACACCCGTTGAAATAACGAGAGGAACACCCTTGGACCGCTTGGTAAGCCCTGTAACTATATTGAATGACGTTATTCTCACACTTTTATCGATGTCGAGTCGTTAGCCAACTGGATTATCGAGCGTGTGTCTCTTTATGCCCTCTCGCTTCTCTTGACAGCCATAACGTGAAATTCATCATTGTCTCGCTATAACACTAATTTTTGTCCATTTTTTCAGTAGTAGAAAATTCAATTTTCCTAAATTTCTGATTCTGATTAGATTATTTGCAACTACTATTGTCAAATCCCTGTCGATCGTGTAAAATGCGTTTCTGTAAATTGAAAATGATAATGAAAAATAAACAAAAAAAAAATCAATTGTACAGAGGATGAGTGTAATAAAAACGATGAACGTGAAGAGAATCCAATTAAACTACCAGCCAATTAATAACTGCGGTCGAGTACATGGACCGAAAGTCATCAGGGAAAAATCGATGCTACAATAAGTCGCATCAATTTTTTTTTGCGCCAGAATCGAGATTTTAAATTATTTCGTAGATCATTAATAATCTCTGAGAAACAAAAGATATACAAAAGTGGTGGAAAATATTGAAAATTTACACAGGAAAAATGAAAATACACTCCACAACAAATCACTTAATCCGCCGGTGGCAATGATATCGACGAAGTTGTTTCAAATAAAACTCGAACGAGGTTTGGCAAAAGAGAAAAAAAAACTCAATTCTCTTCGAGAGAGGGTAAAAGTGTCAATTTGACGCCACTTGTTTGATAACTATGGGTTCGTTTGGCTTTACATTCACATTTATTTATTGTTTTTTTTTTTCAACTCCCATTGGAGCAAACGATTAACCACCCCCCTCGGTCACAATCTACATGATGCGCAATGTTCGCGTACTGACCACGTTATTGTGGGCTTAAGTGGCGTAACTCCATTGAATGGCATTCCGCATTTTCACCCCTCTTGTGAATACACACTGGATCTCCATTTCCCGACACGGTACTTCGGAATCTATTGTTCTTCGGGGAATATATCTGAAATCTGTCAGGCTTCTACCTATATTTGCTAACGTACGCCTGAATTGAAAATTCAAAAGCTATTATAATATCCTAAATATTGTCATTATTTTCACTAGAATCATTTGGTTTTTTACCAGCGTTTCGTTCAATGTAAAACTAGAAAAAAATATTAAAAGCGAAGATGGAATTCACAGCAATGAGATTATGAAATTTTGCAATTAATGACAAGTTCGTGACCAGTGTAATTCGCAAATAGTAACATAGTGGAAAGATCCTCGTATCCGAGAGGATACAAGAGAAGATGGAAGATGGTAGTAGGGAACTAGTATAGAAGGTGGAAGCCCAGTAGTAGTAGTAAGTAATACCTCTCTCTTTTCCGCTCGACATAGGGTCTAGGACCCAAGGGTATCAGAGAGTCCTGCTGTATGTGAGCTGAGAGAGCTTTCTAGCCCAAAAGGTAAAGGATGATTTTGGAGATAGCTCGAGGGTCGCTCTCTTGGTGCTGCTATTGCTGCTGCTGCTGCTGCGGCTGCTGCTGCTGCTGCGGCTGCTGCGGCGGCTGCTGCTGCTGTGTGGAAGTTGTTGGTTCTACCATTGCCAGGGCGGATAAAAGGGAAAGAGAGAAAGAGAGAGAGAGAGAGAGAGAAACAGGAGAAGTTGAAGGCCCTGGGGTTGGGTTAGAGGATAGTGACGGTACAGAACGGAATGGGGGTAAACGTGGGTGGCTGGGCTTGCGAAACGGGAGCCAGTGAGAGGTTGGGGTTGGTTTACGGGTAGAGACTCTGGGGGGTGAACCAGTGGGTGGTAGAATGGGTAGAAAAGAGGGTGGTACTGAAACAGGGTGAAGAGAGGAGGGGGCGGAGGCGAACGATGCGATGGAGGTGAGTCTGCAGAGTCTCAGGAGGGTGAGTTTGGCGCCGAGGTGTCGGTCTTTCTCCACTGCTAGGCTATAGCTCCATTCCCTACTGTGCCTCGCCTCCAACCTTCTCCTCCTCCTCCTCCTCCTCTGCCTCTGCACAACCCTCTTCACACAAACTGGTTTTCTCTCTGTGCGCGCTTTTCCTCCTCTCTGTCTCTCTCTCCCTATCTAGCCGGCCCACCCCCATCCACTTCTTCTTCCTCCCGGCCTTTTACCCGTCACCCTCTTCAACTCACCCTCACTACTCTAGCTTTCATTCTAGCGTGCTTTTCCCTCACTCTAGTTCGTCTCTGTACTCTCTTCCAACTTCTAGAATCTCTCTAGTTTCTACGAATGTATCATACTATGAAACAAAAATGTTTCTTGAGGGAAAATATTTTGCAGATTTTTTTTTTTCAAGTTATTGTTAAATTTAAGATTGAAAAATATTATAAAATAGTTGACACCAATATTACGAGTTATCTTACATATAATTATCCCACAAGGACTTGAAACAAGTTACTTGAAAAGTGTTTTACAATGCTTCTTCTTCTCTCCTCCATCCCAAAATTTGTATAGTTTTCCATGAGTGAAATGATTTAACGACGAACCAAAGAAGAAATATCTATGTCTCAAGGGGTGTATAAGAGTGTCGTCGCTTTTACATTTAGAAGCGTTAGGAAAGGGATGAAAGTTTGAGCTCTTGGATGATGGGTGAGGGTAACACTGGGATAGGTGGGGTAGGGGGAATGGGGTTACTAATTCTCGAATAATGAAGGGACTAAATCGTCAGCCCTTTCTTGGTTACGAACTGGCTCAACTTCCCCCACACTCATCGCATTTTTTTCACTCTCTTATTCCTTTTCTTCGGAGCTAGTCTTTTCTTTGCGCTGCTTTATTTTCACCTCTTCGGCAACAGTCTCTCCTTCTTCCTGTGATGCCTTTGTGTCACGAAACAATGTCACGGGGGATGATTTAGGGGTGACTTTCAACACTTTTAATGTAATGAACATTTGTCATGTTATTTATTAAGCGGTTGAGGCAAGCCCCAACGGATACAAATTCTATTTCAATTATCTCTAATACATACTCAACCCCTTACTCTCCCTTATTCATTGAGTATTTTTAAGGATAATTTTTGCTTATCGTGCATCGAAAATTCAACTCCAACCTCAAGTCAATTTTGTTATTTATGCTAGCTTTTTGGGAAAAGCTAGGAAATCATACCATACCTTTAGTCAATACTTAAAAATCATGCATTCATCGCATTATTTAAAAACTACACTTTTTCTGTTTTTTTTTTTCTTCGTAAAGTTTTATCGCTGTAAAATTCAACGGCGCAGTGGTGGAAAATGCAGGCAGGAAAACGCGTAATACTGAAAAAAAGGTACCTTCCGGAGAGCACTTTTCCTCGTATTACTTATAGCGTTCTGGAAGCGCTACTTTCATTGAAGCGTAACATGACGCTTTTGAAGACCTGTTTCTCACTCGCACAGAGGTACGGAGGAGGGGCTCGACTTACTCCATCGTATCTTGGATGACGTGTTTTCATGTGAGTCAAGTATTCTATGTATATAACATGAATACCTACTATTCACCTTTAGCTCTTACTGAAAGACTATTTATTCTGTATATATGCGAACAATGCCATATTACATTATCCAGTGTATTTGGCACTTTGTTTTTTAAAACACTTGGAGTGAGACTATTTTCATTTCATTATCGTCTATGTGTGAAATAAGTTATAGATTAATAAGGAGAAATCAGTCAAGTACTTGTTCTTCAATTTCGTCTTGTGAAAGCTTTTACCTGTTCATCGATTAAAAAGCTCTAGCACACCTGCTAAAGTACTTGGTACTTTGGTCTTGTCTTTAAGCCTTTCTCCCTAACCGGCACCTCCTGAAATTCAACCCACCAACGCGAATGGAAGAGAACAACGTAGAAAGAGAAAGAGAGCGTGCGAGTTGCTTCGTTCATCCAAGAGCACACAGTTATATCCATGGATCTCGCTCAGAGGGAAGCCACCCTCGTTACCAGCCCCTCTCACCTCCACTCTGAGCCACCCT